CGCAAGGGGAGATAATCAAGAAAAGACAAAAATAGGGTTGGGTCATTAAAAAATCTTCTTCTCAAGAACCACTGGGCCAGTAAAGCTGAAACTTATGTGGAAGCATCCTGGGGTAGTGTAGATTCTAAATTGTTCAAATCATGACCCCCGGGGGAAGGGCGGGGCCACAATGGGGAATCAAAGTTTTATATAGAAATATATAGGAAAAATCTTTGAAAATCTTCTTCTCAAGAACCACTGGGCCAGAAAAGCTGAAACTTATGTGGAAGCATTCTGGTATAGTGTAGATTCTAAATTGTTCACATCATGACCCCCGGGGGAAGGGCGGGGCCACAATGGGGAATCAAAGTTTTATATAGAAATATATAGGAAAAATCTTTGAAAATCTTCTTCCCAAGAACCACTGGGCCAGAAAAGCTGAAACTTATGTGGAAGCATCTTGGTATAGTGTAGATTCTAAATTGTTCACATCATGACCCCCGGGGGAAGGGCGGGGCCACAATGGGGAATCAAAGTTTTACATAGAAATATATAGGAAAAATCTTTGAAAATCTTCTTCTCAAGAACCACTGGGCCAGAAAAGCTGAAACTTATGTGGAAGCATCCTGGTATAATGTAGATTCTAAATTGTTCACATCATGACCCCCGGGGGAAGGGCGGGGCCACAATGGGGAATCAAAGTTTTATATAGAAATATATAGGAAAAATCTTTGAAAATCTTCTTCTCAAGAACCACTGGGCCAGAAAAGCTGAAACTTATGTGGAAGCATCCTGGTATAGTGTAGATTCTAAATTGTTCAAATCATGACCCCCGGGGGAAGGGCGGGGCCACAATGGGGAATCAAAGTTTTATATAGAAATATATAGGAAAAATCTTTGAAAATCTTCTTCTCAAGAACCACTGGGCCAGAAAAAGTGAAGCTTATGTGGAAGCATTCTGGGGTAGTGTAAATTCTAAAGTGTAGGAATCATGACCCCCGGGGAAAGGGTGGGGCCATTATAGGGAATCAAAGTTTTACATAGAAATATATAGGAAAAACCTTTGAAAATCTTCTTCTCAGGGAATCAATGGGCCAAAAAAGCTGAAACATATGTGCCCATGGAAGGATCATGGGGTAGTGTAGATTTCAAAATGTCTAAATTATGATCAGTGGGGTAGGGTGGGGATGCGTTATGTATAACAAGGGGGAAATCTGGTAAAGAACAGAATGGTCAAAGCTTCTCAGGTGAGCGATGTGGCCCATGGGCCTCTTGTTTTTTTTCCTGTAAAAATAAATAGGGGGCGCTTTGACCAAAACCAGGGGACGCTTTGACTAAAATCAAGGGACGCTTTGACCAATATTTGGGGGTGGTATTTTTTCTATAAAAATATATATTACAAATGGTAATATATATGCACCCCCCCCCTTTTTACGTTAATTATCTATACATGTGTTAGGGGCGCTTTGACTAAAATCAGGGGACGCTTTGACCAATATTTGGGGGCGGTATTTTTTCTATAAAAATATATATTACAAATGGTAATATATATGCACCCCCCCTTTTTACGTTAATTATCTATACATGTGTTAGGGGTGCTTTGACCAAAATCAGGGGGCGCTTTGACTAAAATCAGGGGACGGTTTGACTAATATTTAGGGGCGGTATTTTTTCTATAGAAAATATGTTAGGGGGCGCTTTGACCAAAACCAGGGGACGCTTTGACTAAAATCAGGGGACGCTTTGACCAATATTTGGGGGCAGTATTTTTTCTATAAAAAATATGTTAGGGGGCACTTTGACCAAAATCAGGGGGCGCTTTGACTAAAATCAGGGGACACTTTGACTAAAATCAGGGGACGCTTTGACCGGGACGTTTTTATTAGGGGGCGCTTTGACTGGCTCCCTAGGCTTTTACATGAATACATGTAATATGTACACTGTACAGTTGTATGTTATTATATAAGATTAAGTTTCATTGGGATGTGACATGAAATTGGTCAGATGATCAGATCCTATAATGCCCGAAGTGCAGTTTAGTTTTCATATGCAAGAAAGTATGAGCTAAGGCCAAAATTGAAAATATGTTTGTTTGCCATTTACCGACCCAGATTTTTAGGAATGGGTAGGTAGGTAGGTAGGAAAAATATTTTATTTTTTTCCTCTTGACTTCAAATCAAATTACTATTAAAATTTTTAAAAAATCAATATGTTCATGTGCATATTCTTTGTTATTGGAACTTAGGCTTCATGGAACAAAATGTACTAATTGGAAATTTCTGTTGAAAATAAAAAAAATGTGTAATTGAAAAGTGGAATAAAATATTTTGAGTCGGGCTAATTTTTGTGGGTCGGTTGGCTAAGGGCAAATAAACAATATTTTAATTTAGGCCTGATCACATGAACAATTTCATGTCAATCAAAAAATGAATTTTAATTTCATTAATATTGTTATTTTAGGAAACACATTAGCAAATCTACAAGTTGAAAAAAAATTTAAATTTGTGTTGAAAGCTCAAGTAAATATAACATGTATAAAGAGAGAGAGAGAGAGAGAGAGAGAGATGTTTTATAGCATTTCATTTTTTTCATTGCTCATGTATGGACATCCATTTCAACAAGTTTTGTTGTTCTTGAAAAGGTTAAAAGGCTTTACTGGTTTTTGAGATTTTTTTCTTTTATTTTCTTTCTTTAAGATTTACATGGTATTTTGAAGAAAAATGTTTCTAAAGAACAGCACAGCTTATGGAATATTGTACTCCATAGGAAATCAACATATAAATCATTGTATACCTAAAAAATGGCAAGGACAGACCCTTATTTCTAAATAAAAAGAATGGAGGCGTACAAGGCGAGGTCAATCCCCCGCTCTGAGAAAAGACATTTTTCAATTCTAAAAGTTATATTTTTCAAAATTATATTGTTATGCCCCCCTTTGAAGAAGGAAGGGCATATTGCTTTGCTGCTGTCTGTCGGTCCATTTAGTTTCCGTTCATTTTCTTCACAACCGTTGCACATACTGGGATGAAATTTGGTATACAGGTGTATCAGATGAATATCTAGACCAAGTTCTGTTTTTGGTACAATTGCACCATTTCTGACAGTTATGGCCCTTGGACTTAGAAAAAGAAAAATTCCAATTATTTGCAGTTTCCGTTCATTTTCTTACGAGAGGTTGAACATACTGAAATGAAATTTGGTATACAGGTATATCAGATGAATATCTAAGTCAAGTACTGTTTTGGGTACGATCACACCATTTTTGACAGAGTTATGCCCCTTGGACTTAGAAAAATTCCAATTATTTGCACTTTCCGTTCATTTTCTTCGGAGAGGTTGCACATTTTGAAATGAAATTTAGTATACAGATTATTCAGATGAATATCTAGTTCAAGTTCTCTTTTGGGTACGATCGCACCATTTTTGACAGAGTTATGCCCCTTGGACTTAGAAAAATTCCAATTTGTGGGGGAGGGGGCACAAGTGTTTTGCAAACATCTCTTGTTTATATCATCTTTTACACATTTAATTCTGTATTTCATTGTTTTAATATTTTATTAATAATTTATTTTTCACTCATGTTTTTAAGATATGTGAAAACAAAAATGAAAAAGCTTCACATATGATTCAAACCATACATGTTAACTCTACCGATTTAGGCGGGAGTCTACCGCTTTTTTAATCTATCTCCCGCCTACCGATTTTATTCGTAAATCTACCGCTTTTCTACAAAAGTTTTGCCTAAAGTTTGAATCAAACTCTCTCCATAGCGCAGTGTTTGGTCCAAGACCGACCACTTTAACCACTACGCTATGAAGTATATGCATCGTCGATGTCTGTCAGAGTGATTTAAATGAAAGGGTTTGTTGAAGCGTACATTTTTTCAGAAATTTTCGATTTTCAGATAGAATGGGTTCAGATTCCATTTTTTTGACAAATGAAATAGATTTCACATTTACGTTTCCATCATTTAAATGTTAACTAAGAATGGAGATTTGACCCATTCATGTTCAAAATTCATCTTTTATAGATTTAGTAAACCCATTTTCCACTAAATATGCTTAAGTGTCAACTTTGAAATGAAGTTTATCAAATAATAAGTCCTTCAGTAAAATAAAATGATAAAATGTTTTGAAGATGACATTACTGAGAACATGATTTTAGAAAAATATAACTTTTCGGTGAATTTTGAAAATTGAGAAACATTTTGTCTCAGAGCGGGGGATTGTCCATGCATTTTACACCCTCTTTCTTTCATAAAATTCATTTCTTGTGAATTCTTTTACGCTCCAAGGAGAGGGGGGTATACTGTTTTACCCTTGTGTGTCTTTCCCTTTGTCCGTCTGTCTGTCCATAACTACTCATTGCAGAGGCTTGAAATTATATCACATTCTTTGCTGAGGCATGTCATATGGTGGGCTTCATTTTTTTACCAAATCTGATGTCAACTTCCTGTTTATCCATGCATCTGTCCATACCATACATAACAAATTTTTGTTGCAGTTTTCTTAGCAACTACTCATAGCAGATCCTTGAAATTTTAGCACATTCTTTGCTGAGGCATGCCAATTTATTTTTGTCTAAATCAGATGTCAACTTCCTTTTTATCCATGCATCTGTCCATAACTGAAGTTGCGTATATTACGGTAACAAGATAGTGTGTATTCACATTATAGCGGGGGTATTACTAGTGAGCATTGGCTCACAGACTTCTTGTTTTATGTGGTTATTTCATTCTAATAAGCGAAATTTTTGCAGAAATCATTTTTGTTGTTCATTACGGTATTCCTCTGCAAGATTTATGTATTTGTTAATAAAATTTAATTTTGACTAGGCAGTCTTGCTAATTTTAAAAATATTTTGTGGTATATATAATAATTCTTACTACCGGTAATGCAAATATATGCAACAATGTAATTTTCATGACCAGACAGACTCACGTAATTACACAAAAATAAAGTTCTTGCAAATAAAATGTGATTTACAGTAGTCAAATGAAAACAACACCTTTTTTTTGTTCATTTAATTTTTATATCGTCATTCTCATGGCAGCCATAAAAAGTTCTGTATGCAAAACCAATTCACCACATTTCATTAACACATTTAATTATTCTTTAGGTTTTTATATATTTTTTCTAAAATGAAAGTCCTGTTTAAATATCAAAACAGATTAAAAATTCAAATAAAATTCAAAAACAAAAACAGTATTGATTGTTCAATCAGAGAAGTTTTTAAACAGTTTGCCCCCTTTATCATTAATCAAACAGTAAAATAAATCTATACACAAATCAAGTTTACCAGATTAAATGTCAATGTGCCTTCATTAACTAAGGGGGTCAATAGGCTCCTCTTTTTACAGAAGATGGGTATAGATGATCTTATCCCTTGGCACAGAGTCAGTAGGACACACGTTCATTACAACTTGATGCTCAAAATCAAGCTGTCTTTTGTCAAAGTTAAATAAATGGACAAAGAAATTAACATTGGAGGTGTCTGGAGGTCAGTTATAACCAGGTTTACTGTATTTCCTCCCATTGCCTGCTATATTCCACCATTTTCATCAAAAAGTAAATATTTTTTCTGCTCCAAGCAGTTGTATAAATCTTAAAAAAAATTTAAAGTGCTATACACTGACACAACTAGTACTTGTAACATTTTCAATGCATAAAAATATATACATGTGATTCATTAAAGCTAAGCTTTATATCTGGTTTTACACTTCCCTGCACTTGAAATATACAAGAAAACAAAATGAATGCTATATATTAAATAAAATACAGACATATACATGTATGCACCACTCTTATGCTTTTGTTCATAGATTAATCACTTCTCACTCTGTGTAAATCAGCTCTCGCTCTCCTATCTGAATTTTTTTGTTGTAGATACAAGACAATAGTAATAAAAGGTTGTTATAAGACAAGATAAAAGTGAAAGGTTATTGTAGTAGTAGTATAGGACTGAATTAACAAGTTTCATGCAGTGAGAACAAGGAGTTCTAAAAAAAAAATTGGTTTTTCTCGAGTTTGTATGTTGAAATTGAAAAGGAACACTGCAGGAGAAAGCCGATTTACATAGCAGAAGAAAATATTTTAAAACTGCAGAGTTTTCGTAGTATACCACAAATTATTAAACCTTTAAGGCTGAAAGATTAGGTAAAAAATATGCCATTAAATGCAGACATAATTGTGATCATGATAATCAGAGTGAGTTTTGATGTTGCCCTCCGAGATGCGTTGATGTGTCAGACTCTCCAACAGATCAGCTCACCAACTAAACCTTAGAGAACTCCTCCGGAAGATTGTACAGGCCACAGACGAGATTGGCAGGTAAAGCTTTGTCTGAAAACAAGATAGAATAATTTTCAGTAAATACAAGACAGAATAATTTTCAGTAAATACAAGATAGAATTATTATCCGTAAGTACAAGATAGACTTATTGTCAGTAAATACAAGAGAGACTTATTGTCAGTAAATACAAGAGAGACTTATTGTCAGTAAATACAAGATAGACTTTTTGTCAGTAAATACAAGAGAGACATTGTCAGTAAATACAAGATAGACTTCTTGTCAGTAAATACAGTAAATACAAGATAGACTTATTGTCAGTAAATACAAGAGAGACTTATTGTCAGTAAATACAAGAGAGACTTATTGTCAGTAAATACAAGATAGACTTTTTGTCAGTAAATACAAGAGAGACATTGTCAGTAAATACAAGAGAGACTTTTTGTCAGTAAATACAAGATAGACTTAATGTCAGTAAATACAAGATAGACTTTTTGTCAGTAAATACAAGATAGACTTTTTGTCAGTAAATACAAGAGAGACATTGTCAGTAAATACAAGATAGACTTATTGTCAGTAAATACAAGAGAGACTTCTTGTCAGTAAATACAAGATAGACTTATTGTCAGTAAATACAAGAGAGACTTATTGTCAGTAAATACAAGAGAGACTTATTGTCAGTAAATACAAGATAGACTTTTTGTCAGTAAATACAAGAGAGACTTATTGTCAGTAAATACAAGATAGACTTCTTGTCAGTAAATACAAAGAGACTTATTATCAGTAAATACAAGATAGACTTCTTGTCAGTAAATACAAGATAGACTTAATGTCAGTAAATACAAGATAGACTTTTTGTCAGTAAATACAAGAGAGACATTGTCAGTAAATACAAGATAGACTTTTTGTCAGTAAATACAAGAGAGACTTATTGTCAGTAAATACAAGAGAGACTTATTGTCAGTAAATACAAGATAGACTTATTGTCAGTAAATACAAGATAGACTTCTTGTCAGTAAATACAAAGAGACTTATTGTCAGTAAATACAAGATAGACTTATTGTCAGTAAATACAAGATAGACTTAATGTCAGTAAATACAAGATAGAATTACTGTCAGTAAAAACTAGAAAGACTTATTGTCAGTAAATAAAAAATTGTGTAGTTTTCATTTAATATGAAGTAGGGATATCAACAAATATTCGAATATTCATTTGATGAGTTGATATTCGAATATAAATTCATGATTCAAATATTCGGATTTTAAGTATACAAGCATCAAAAAGAAAAAAAATCTGGCAAAAACTGAAGTTTTATCAGAAATTGAATCAAATTCTCATCATTGACCAATAATAAGATTTTATTTAAACAAAATTAACAGACACTCCTCTTGGATTACCTTAAGGGTGTGAAGAATGTGTCTATTAAAATGATATAAATTATTCATTTGATCATTTAATTAGAGATATAACAATGTCCAGTACTTATAATTAGTTTGTATTGTTGAAAGGACACATTTTTGTTTATGTATACATCATTTAAAATCATTATCAGGGAATTAATTAGCTAAAAGTAATTGCTTTCAATGTTTCTCCATTAGATAATTGTTCTGCGTGGTATAAATCTGTAGGGTTATCAGTGTACACTTTGGTAAGATGATTAATCTGGAACTTATTAAAAGAATCTTTTGAATTTTCAGGGGAAATTTTTGTTATTACATTTTGGATATATGTTCATATATTCTGTAAAATATTTTAAGAATGTAATTAAAGTGCATTTACAAAACTCTACATGAAATTTTATTCCAAAATAATGACATAAAACGTATATATTGCTTGACAAAAGAGTGAAGATACATATTATAATGCAAGATGTATTTATTTTATCGAATATATTCGAATACTACTATCGAATATTCGAATATCAATTTTTGACAATTTTGACATCCCTAATATGAAGTGTATTGTAGATTCAGTTTCAAATCATCAGGTTGATCAATGTCACAGATAGGCCAGCCTCTCCTTCCTATCTTGCAGATCATTCCAACAAACAGTAATAGGCTTAGTGCTCTATGTTTTCTTCACTGTAGATAGCTTGCAGTGATTATCTAAATGTAAGCTTTTCCTACCTATTTGTTTAGTATATGGAAGGTTTAGTTCCTTCATTATAAATGTAATCTTTCCTACCTATTTGTTTTGGATATGGAAGGTTTAGTTCCTTCATTATAAATGTAATCTTTCCTAGTTGGATATGAAGGTTTAGTTCCTTCGTTATAAATGTAATCTTTCCTACCTATTTGTTTTGGATATGGAAGGTTTAGTTCCTTCACTATAAATGTAGTCTTTCCTACCTATTTGTTTTGGATATGGAAGGTTTAGTTCCTTCATTATCTTCACAAACTCTTCTTTAGTCTTGGTCAAACGAGGATTCATGGTTTTTTCCTCAGCCACTGTTGTGCTTGTTTGACCTTTAAAGAAAAAAGAATAATAGTCATGATATTAGAAAACTAGAATTATGTCCATAGGACATGAATGCCCCGCCGAGGATATATTAGTAAAGCAACATGAAAATTTGTATGTGTATAAAATTTGATCAGTTTGGTTCAGGTAGGGCTTATAGTAACCAGGGAATAAAAATGTAGGTCAGATCCAGCATCCAAAGCAAGTCTGGTAGTGTCCATCCCTAAATGCATCATCCATGCAAGTTTGGTTCAGGCAGGGCTTATAGTTACTTGGGAATGAAAATATAGGTCAGATCCAGCATCCGAAGCAAGTCTGGTAGTGTCCATCCCTAGATGCATCATCCATGCAAGTTTGGTTCAGGCAGGGCTTATAGTTACTTGGGAATGAAAATATAGGTCAGAACCAGCATCCAAAGCAAGTCTGGTAGTGTCCATCCCTAGCTGCATCCTCCATGCAAGTTTGGTTCAGGTAGGGCTTATAGTTACTTGGGAATGGACCTGCTCCAAAAACTTTAACCTGGTCACTCATCTGGAAAATGTAGGTAAGGTCCAGCATCCGAAACAAGTCTGGTAGTGTCCATCCTTAGATGCATCATCCATGCAAGTTTGGTCCAAGTAGGGCTTATAGTTCCTTAGGAATGGACCTGCTCCAAAAACCTTAACTGGTCACTCATCTGGAAAGTGTAGGTCAGATCCAGCATCCGAAGCAAGTCTGGTAGTGTTCATCACTAGATGCATCATCTGTGCAAGTTTGTATCAACATGTAAAGGTTGATAACACCATCTTGAATGGTATGTTTTAAACTGAGCTAAACACTCAATTAAGAAAAAAGAGGTCAAGGTCAAAGGAAAGGTCAAGGTCAAAAACTGTTGATGCAGTTGCATAGCTCTCATCAATATCTATCAGCAAATGAAGTTTGATGAAAATATCTTGGATAGTTTCTTTGAAACTTAGCTTTGAACAGAGCTAAATGCAAAGTGTGACGGAAGGACGGAAGGACGAAAGACGGACATGACAAACACTATATGCCCCGGCCATATTCATGGCGGGGCATAAATATAGATTTGTGGGAGAATTGCTGTGATGATTTATTTTCTTTCTTCCATTGTTGTTTCTAATTTGAACAATTTACTTCAATATTTATACCTAGCACAAACAACACTTGGGGTAAATAAAATCATGAACCCATCCATCTGTCCACCCAGTGATGTGTGATCATTATGAAGACATTTTGGGAGCATTTGGTTCATAAAAGGAAGAAAATTTAATTGTCCAATATTTCTCTTCACTCAATTTCATATCTAAAGCCCCATGCCTATATATGCCAGCTCTCACCTTGTCATTTATTTAATATCTATTTATTTAATATACCGGTACCTTATAAATGAGTAACCCATGAAATTTAATAAATGCAAAACATGACACAAAATCTTTAAAACTTCAAAAATATCTGGTAGTTTTTTAGCTCACCTGAGCCGAAGGCTCAAGTGAGCTTTTCTGATCAAAATTTGTCCGTTGTCTGTCGTTGTCATCGTCGTTGTCGTCGTAAACTTTTCACATTTTCATCTTCTTCTCCAGAACCACTGGGCCAATTTCAATCAAACTTGCCACAAAGTATCCTTAGGTGAAGGGGATTCAACTTTTTTCAAATGAAGGGCCACACCCTTTTCCAAGGGGAGATAATTATGAATTAGTGAACAAGAGGCCCACAGGCCTTATAGGTCACCTGAGCATCATGCAACAACTTTCAGATGATTGAATTTGTTTCATGTTTTAAGCTAGATGCTTAGGCATTCACAATTTTGGAAGAGGCACTCTTGCTCAACATAACTATGTACTTAGTTAGTTTATTTAAAACCTATGAGCAGAGAAGAAGATTTTCAAAGATTTAATGCATTTTCACTATATAATCAATAGAGCCCCGCCCTAACACCAGAACCTCTGACCCTGGGGCCATAAAATTCACAATTTTGGTAGAGGCACTCTTGCTCATTATAACTATGTACTTAGTTAGTTTATTTAAAACCTAGGAGCAGAGAAGATTTTCAAAGATTTAATGCATTTTCACTATAATCAATAGAGCCCCGCCCTAACACCAGAACCCCAGACCCTGGGGCCATGAATTTCAGAATTTTGGTAGAGGCACTCTTGCTCATCATAATTATTTACTGAATTAGTGTATTTAATACGTAGGAGCAGAGAAGAAGATTTTCAAAGATTTAATGCATTTTCAATAAATAATCAATATAGAGCCCCACCCTAACACCAGAACCCCTGACCCTGGGGCCATAAAATTCACAATTTATGAAGATACACTTTTGCTCATCATAACTATGTGCTTAATTAGTTTATTTAATACTCAGGAACAGAGAAGAAGATTTTCAAAGAAATAATGCATTTTCACTATATAATCAATAGAGCCCCGCCCTAACACCAGAACCCCTGACCCTGGGGCCATAAAATTCATAAATTTGGTAGAGCCACTCTTGCTCATCATAACTATGAACTTAATTTGTTTATTTAATACCCAGGAGCAGAGAAGAAGATTTTTAAAGATTTACTGCATTTTCACTATATAATCAATAGAGCCCCGCCCTAACACCACAACCCCTGACCCTGGGGCCATGAATTTCACAATTTTGGTAGAGGACTCAATGCTGATTACAATCATACCAACAGTTTGACTGCTTGATGTCCGGGAGTAAAGAAGAAGATTTTTAAAGATTGCACTATTTTTAGTGGTTTTTGCCCCCTCCCCCAGGCCCCAGGGGAGCGGGGACCACCAAATTCACAATTTTTGTTCCCCTTCACCCATAGATGCTATATGCCAAATTTGGTTGAAATTGGTTCAGTGGTTTCAGAGAAGAAGCTAAAAATGTTTAAATGTTAACGCACGACGCACGACGCACGACGGACGACGACGGACAAAAACGGATAGCAATAGGTCACCTGAGTTTACTCAGGTGACCTAAAAATTAATGGTATTTTTATAAAATCTTCTTCTCAAGAACCACTGGGCCAAGAAAGATGAAACTCATGTGGAAGCATCCTCAGGCAGTGTAGATTCAAGTTTGTTCAAATCATGACCTCTGGGAGTAAGGCGGGGCCACAATGGCCGATCAAAGTTTTACATAGAGTATATTGGGAAAATCTTTAAAAATCTTCTTCTCAAGAACCACTGGGCCAGGAAAGATGAAACTCATGTGGAAGCATCCTCAGGTAGTGTAGATTCAAGTTCCTTCAAATCATGACCCCCAGGGGTAGGGCGGGGCCACAATGGCCGATCAAAGTTTTACATAGAGTATATAGGGAAAATCTTTAAAAATCTTCTCAAAAACCACTGGGCCAGGACAGATGAAACTCGTGTGGAAGCATCCTCAGGTAATGTAGATTCAAGTTTGTACAAATCATGACCCCCGGGGGTAGGGCGGGGCCACAATGGCCGATCAACGTTTTACATAGGAGTATATAGGGAAAATCTTTAAAAATCTTCTTCTCAAGAACCACTGGGCCAGGAAAGATGAAACTCATGTGGAAGCATCCTCAGGTAGTGTAGATTCAAGTTCCTTCAAATCATGACCCCCAGGGGTAGGGCGGGGCCACAATGGCCGATCAAAGTTTTACATAGAGTATATAGGGAAAATCTTTAAAAATCTTCTCAAGAACCACTGGGCCAGGACAGATGAAACTCATGTGGAAGCATCCTCAGGTAATGTAGATTCAAATTTATACAAATCATGACCCCCAGGGGTAGGGTGGGGCCACAATGGCCGATCAACGTTTTACATAGGAGTATATAGGGAAAATCTTTAAAAATCTTCTTCTCAAGAACCACTGGGCCAGGAAAGATGAAACTCATGTGGAAGCATCCTCAGGTAGTGTAGATTCAAATTTGTTCAAATCATGATCCCCAGGGGTAGGGCAGGGCCAGTGGTCGATCAAAGTTTTACATAGGAGCATTCAAGTTTGTACAAATCATGACCCCTAAGAGGTAGGATGGGGCCACAATGACTGATCAAAGTTTTACATAGGAATTTATAGGAAAATCGTCTTCTCAAGTACATGTACTTCAAAGCAATGATTAGTGATAGTATAGGAATAAAATGTTTTTAAAAAATCTTTTTATCAAGAACATTAAAGTCATATGCGGTATTAATATGAAGGCATTCTGAAGTAGTATTAAATTTAAGCCCCCCCCCCCCCCCCCCACCCCCCTTCAGTAAACTTTTCAGTTCTGATCTGATTTGGGTTTTTTCTTAGCCGATTTGCTCAGGTGAGCGATGTGGCCCCTGGGCCTCTTGTTATTATACCCCCATTCTGAAGGAGAAGGGGGTATACTGTTTTACCCTTGTTTGTCTGTCTGTCCGTCTGTGTGTCTGTCCGTAACAAATTTTTGTTGCAGTTTTCTCAGCAACTACTCATCGCAGATGCTTGAAATTTTAACACAGTCTTCTCTGAGGCATGCCATACGGTGGGATACATTTTGGTCAAATCCGATGTCAACTTCCTGTTTGTCTGTGTGTCTGTCCGTTTCATATACATGTATAACAAATTTTTCGTCGCATTTTTCTCAGCAACTACTCATTGCAGATGCTTGAAATTTTTATAGAATCTTCTCTGAGGCATGCCATACGGTGGGATACATTTTTGGTCAAATCTGATGTCAGCTTCCTGTTTGTTTGTGCGTCTGTCCATTTCATACATAACAAATTTTTCGTCGCAGTTTTCTCATCAACTAATCATAGCAGATGCTTGAAATTTTAGTGCACTCTTTGTTGAGGCATGCCATATGGTGGGATTAATTTTGATATGAATCTGATGTCTGTAATGGAACTTGTGTATATAAGATAGTGTTTATTCACATCAGAGCAGGGGTATTCCTAGTGAGCATTGGCTCACAGATTTCCTGTTTTTTATTATTTTCATTTACCTGTGTAATCATGGGCAGGAAACAGTGTGTAGTTGGGAGGGAGGGAGAAAATCTTCTCATGAACAGAGTTGTACAAAGTCTCAGAATTTCCTGTATAAGTAAGAAAAACACATTGTCTGTTGTAAAAAAATCTATCTTTAACTGTTTTTGTAACAATTTTATGACCATAATAATTTGGTGTATATTTTACCTTCCTGGAAATCTGTTCTGCCGCAACCTCTGACAAGAACGGCATCTCCAGTAAAAGCCATAGCCTTCTCATGCCATACATAGGTGACACATCCTGTAGGAAAGAAAAAAATTGCAATACAGAAAATGTTCTTTATTATGTAACACAAATCTTTCTATTTGAGAAGTTGGATAATTGTATTTTAAGTATGGAAAAAAGATATTCTCTCTCCCTGGTGAGTTCAATTATACTGAGATTTTCTTGGTTACTCTCGAGTTTACAAACTTTGCTCTGAGAAGTTTTCTTGACCCTCTACCTCAATTAATTATTATTATCTTAAGTGATGGGTATATAAAGGGCCCAGGATCTCTAGTCAGGTGCTTTACCAACTGAACCACAGGCCTTTCGATCGCTTAGAAAAAAAAAATGAGGTTTTTGACACACACAATTTTTTAAGCGATCCAAAGACCTGTAGACTGAACATTTCTGGCCACCGGTGATTGAACCCGGCTGACCTCTGCATTTTTGTCCACTTTTGTTAACTTACATTTGGTGCTGTGCCATGCCCTGGAACTGACAGGTGAGAGGTCTGCCAGGGATGAGTCTGGGGTCATTAAGGGACCAAAGACTTTTAAGGAGGATCAAGGTATGTAGCGGTCAGGCGGGTTAGATCGCTCGTGGCCAGATAGTTTATTCTAAAGAGCACCTGACCAGAGAATCAGGGGGCCTGGATTCCAATTCCGGTCTGGTCTGCAGCATTTTTGTCCTCTCTGGTTACACATGCATTGATAAATTAATTTGAAGGCTTTTGTGTGTAATGCCAACTTCTAAAATCTACAGTTTATGTCATACAAATTACCATGCAGTTATGTAGTTTAACAATGAGTTGTTAGCTTACCATTTGTATGACCTGGTGTACTTTTGACCTCTATCTCGTATTTACCAAAGGTCAACTTGTCCCCCTCTTTGACCTTGACATCTGCCTCGGCCTTACTGGCAGCTGAGATAACACTCTTACATTCGGGAATCTGCTTCTTGATGAACCCAGTACCGGTGATGTGATCCGCATGCACATGGGTGTTGACTGAAACAAATTATAACATTTCTATGTGCCTGTTAGTGTTAGGTACAAACTCAATATGTATACCATCAGGTTATGCCCTAGTTTTATGCAATCTTGTCTACATCTGATGAGATAAATTTAGTCTACAATCTGTATCACTAATATTATTTGATAATTCAAAACAGTTGGAAAAGCCCATTTCCATTGATAAGGCAGACTGTAAATAAACTTTACAGTTTTAAGTAGATCAATTCGATTTAAGTAGAACAATAGATAAAATAGTCTTTATAAATAGATTCAGGTTAAAAACTAGTCCAGTTCTGGATCACACTAAAGGAAACTTCAAATTACAGTATTTATACTGATGACAGACTAAACCTTTTTGCTTAAATTATGCTATCGTTTATATTTCTTATTTAAAATTATATTATATTGTGGAACGTCTCCCCCCATTTTTTTTTTTTAATTCTGAGTTGGGCAAGGACAAGCATCTTTTAAAAGATGGTCTTACAGAATTTTTAATTAAATACATTAAGGAATTATTTAAAGACAATTCATTAAATACAAACTTACATAAACTTATTGAAATTTGATTTCAGAAAGGTCAGTAAGTACAAATTTAAGGACCAGACCTGCTGAAAAGAGATTTTTACCTGGTCAACCCTACCAAAATTATAATTCAGATATACACAATCTGAAGTATACATGTACATGCCTTGATGAACTTCCATACAATTTACAAACAAGGGTATGGCTTTTAATTTTTAGAGAATAAACTTCCAACAAAAACTTCAACCTTATCAAGAAAATAAGAGTAAGTTTGGAAACAAAAGGGTTTTTTTTCCAAAAAAGTATTTTCCTTAATTGTCATTCATCTATTATAAATTCGATCACTGACAGATAAATACAGTAAAACTCAGTTATAACAAAGTCACGGGGACCTATGGAATTACTTCACCATATCCATAATTTGCTATAGCTGGGGATCCAAGAATTCACTACATCCGTGAATTTGCAATATCCGTGTTAACACAATACAAGTTTTGCTGTACAGTTTTTCCACTTTTAAAACTGAGGTATGTGTATGTAAGGGGTGAAAATGAAAGCATAAATTTCAAAATATTTATGAGGGTATTTACTACATAGGAATCATTAAAATTTAAGGGGTCCAATTTATTCTCTTATACCTACAAAAAGAAATACCAGGGGTATGACTTTGAAATTTTATTTATCTATTTGCTGAGGTCATTAATTTGTGGATCAAAGATCAATGCCCAGGAATTCTACGAATATTGAACCACAACGAAATCTTATGATTTTAAAGTAACTGCCATATTTTAATGTCAACATTGTAAAAACAAAAATAAACACCTGCGTATTTAAGAGTAAGTCCTAGATCCTTGACTAACTTGGTGTCTCTGGCTACAGTGTCAATAACAGGATCAATCAGGATTGCTTCCTTTGTGTCAGGATCAGCCAGGAGGTAGGTGTAGGTAAAGGATTTATACTCCAGGAACTGTAATGAATCAAAAAGATACTGCTTTACCACATAAAATCGTACTAATCACCAGCTTAACTCTAAAGGAAAAAGCATTTTAAATAAATATAAGTAAATCAAAATACACATCATGTATACCCCTTTATCTAAATAACATTTACATATAGCTAGTCTAATAATACTTATCAAATTATTTTTGGTATATAATCCAATTTTAGAAAGTTTACTTTAAAACCTTTAGCCCCCAAATCATGATGCATGTTGTATTTGTGTGGTCATACTTGTCTGAAGACATAGTCCTTGTCTCTTCCAGCAAATCCCGACATATTCCTTGCAAACTGACCATGCAAGACTCTACCCAAGTCGCAATTATTTGAAAGGAAAGGCGGTTCGGCACGCGATTTTTTGCAACTTGCATGCAGCTTCCTTGCTGCTGACAACGCGAAGCATTTGTCGACGGAACAATATAGTCCACGAACGTTCAAACTACCAATTACTTTACTCCGGCATGTTGCCATTCTATGTGAATAACCTCACACAAATCTTTCCAAATCCTTGATCTGGAAGGACTTTTTGTTTACAAGTTGCTAAGTTCGCACATGCGCAATTGCTGTATTATATCAGGTACAGAGGACACGAGTACTCCGGAAGGAGGCCTCCGAGTCACGTTTCGATAATAACTATCTTTCTGTACGTTGGTAATATTTTTAAAAAATTATGAAATCGCTGTAGGAAGGTATAAGAATAGAAAATATAATTGACTAAAAGAAAGATCTTTCCAGTTCATAGAATACGTACTTTCACTTTCAGTTTCCATTAAACTTAAAGCTAAGCATTTGTGACAATGAAAATACTTCATATTTCAAAATGGTTAACTTGTGTTTTATATCATTTTTTAATTTTTTTTCCATTTTGCATTATCTGTTAAAAAAAATAATTAAGCAAGCCTATCTGTATTCCATAATCATGAAAATGCACTTTAAACATTAAGTATTTCATCAGATTCATAGTCATATATTGAATTCTAATTATTTGTGTACAATAACTTTCCTTTCAGTGATGGACAGTCAAGTTGCACGTGATGGCCGTCTGATGGAGTTGGTGGATGAGAAATGGCGAGAAGACAAACTCCCGATGGAGGAAGTAGCTGTGCCTCAGATGGAACTGCCAGAAATAGAACCAGATAACGGACCAACCAATGAGACCCTGAAAGAGCAGGAACAAAAGTGGGCTGACCTGGCACTGTCCTCACTGCATGACCAGCCACCCGCGACCACCAGTAACTGACCAGCTGTAACTGCATGTGATTTTACGATTCAGAATCATCTGATATCTAGTGATCATCACAGAGTCCGAAAATGTGAAATCTGAGGTTAATATGGTTAAGAGAGGTCTTAATTTGTTCCCTCCACCAGACTTAATGTTAATTTCTATATATTTGCCACTATTAACTGTACTTTTTGAAGTAATAGCACCATTTGCATGTAATAAATTTAGTACTGAACTTTTAAGGAAAATGGAAGCTTGAGGACTAATGGATGCCTGTGTGCATCAATTCATACATAATCCCTGCAATTAAATGGACTTGATAAAAAGGGAAATTGTATGAACCAAATGAATTTATGTATCAATATTCGCTTCTTTTTTTAAATAAAGTTTGTCAAAATGGAGAAATGTTTATTACTGTATAAATATACTTGGATTTCATATAATTTATATAATACTTCAAATGCATGCAGTCAAATTAACCCCTATCTCAAACTTGATGAGAGCTTAGGGGAAAAAACTTTGAGAGTAGGGGATATTTAACAAGGAAAGAAGTTCTCTTGAACTGTAAACATACAACATAATCAAAAAAGACACCATTGTGTGCATTAAATATTTATTTTAATGTGTTTAATGACAGGTCATCATCAGAGTGGACAATGCCCAGTCCATCGAGGAAATGCTGTGACATCTTTAATGTTTGGCATACCCAGCAGAAACTGTAGATAGCGATCAAATCCCATTCCAAAACCACCATGAGGACAGGAGCCAAATTCTCGTAGCTCTAAGTACCTAGAAAATTTGCAAAGAAATAATGCATTTTCACTATATAATCAAAAGAACCCTACCTTAACACCAGAACCCCTTACCCAGGGGCCATGAAATTCATAATTTTGGAAGAGGCACCCTTGCTCATCTTTTGGATAATATACAAGGACACAGAAGATTTTTAAAGAAATAATGTACATGTATCTTTATTCAATATAGCTCCCCCTCACCAAATGCCAAAAGATTTAACAAATATGCATGAGATCACCCTGGTATTCATAAGTTAAAGCACCTAATTTATCTGCTTAAAATAAGAAGAAATCGGAAAATTTTCCAAAAAACTATGTATCTTTACTATGATATTAGAGCCCAAAATTAACTCCAGAACCCCTGGCACTGCATGGGGCCTTCAATTTCATAAATATGATGGAGGGTTCAATGCTCATTATTATCAAACTAACACATTGTCAGCTTGGTGTGCAGGAATAAAGAAGATGATTGTTTCTTAAGATAGCACTCATTTTGATAGTTTTAGTCCCCCCTACCCTGGCCCCAAGGGACAGGAACTATGAAATTCACAACTATTGTAACCTTTCACCCACTGATGTAATATGCCAATTGGTAATTGGTTGAAACTGGTTCAGGGTTCAAGAGAAGAAGCTGAAAATGTAAATCAAAAAAAAAAACAAACAAACATAAAACTGATGCACTACTGATGATGGACTTGTTGACTATAATTCACCATTTTAAAACTGATTAAGATAAAAGTTATTAAAGGAAATAAAATTTCATTCAAAATAAAGAAAAAAATAATCAATGAATCTAACCCCTTTTAAAATATCCCTGCTTTAATTACAGGGTGAAGGTTGTAGCTGAATGTGATCAGCTTTAATCTTCATTTCTGGAGCTGATAGAAGCAAGACCACTTGACTTACCAAGAAAGTGCATCGAGGAGATTTTTAGACTGTAACTTTTGATGGAGTAAATCATATCTCTCCTCCCTCAGTGTCCCTCCACAAAGCTCCCCAACACCAGGGATCAAAAGGTCAAGGCCAGCCACCTAAAAGTTCAAGGTTATCTCACTAAATGCCGGTACACACAGTAAGGCTTGCTTTATAAGTCTAAAACCTTACGTTTTGTAGGATGTACGGCTCTCATGTCCACACGCTAAGGCAAGACTTACAATATTATAAGCAACATTTACATTAACTCCATGTGTTTTTGTGCCATAAACAGTGTGCATTATTAAATGGAATAATAGATTACTAGCTAGGACTTTAATTAGTTTTACCAACCAGTGCATCCACACTTTTTAACTAAGTAGAGGAGGTTACCTGAAGTATTGTGCTTTCTTCAATATACCAACATGTATGGTTTTATAAAAATAGATTGGAAATTGGGTTAATGTTTTCATTTGTCAAGAAATAAATGTCAATTAAGTCTTGTATTAAAAAATAGAGCAGTGTTCTATTCCGAAGTCAGACTTGTAAGGCTCGAAAAAACGTGTAGTATGGGTGTACACACAGTAAGGCTACAACTTAAGTTCTATGACTTCTAAGGCAAGCATTACCATGTGTACCAGCCCTAAGACTTTGTTTAACTGTTTAACCAAGATTGACTCTTTTTTAATTTAAATGGACATAAAGATTGCTCATGCTTACTGTCCTGTTGTCTGGATTTTGTCGGGCATAGAAAGGTTTGAGCTCCTCTGGGTAATCCGTTACAAATACAGGAACATTCCTACAATGCTTAACTAAAGCTTTCTCATGAGCTCTCTGTAGATCATCTCCCCACTGAAAAAAAGAAACCTTCATTGGAATGTTAAATGAGAGAGAGTGTAAAAAATCCTTAACTAGAAATATGTCCATAGGACATGAATGCCCTGTCTAGGGTGTGTAAGTAATGAAACATGAAAATTTGTATTAGTGTATGAAATTTAATCAGTATGTCTTGAAAATTGATGCAGTTGAATTGCTTACATCAGTATGTATCAGCATATGAAGTTTGACACTAATTTCAGAAAAGTGAGGTCTGACAAGGTCAAAGGAAAGGTCAAGGTCAAAAAATGTTGATGCAGTTGAAAAGCTCTCATCAGTATGTATCAGCATTATGAAGTTGAAAAAATATTTATGAATGGTTTCTTTAAAAACTGAAAAACTGACCTAAAAAACAATTTGATAACAATGAGATCAAGGTCAAATGAAAGATCAAAAGTCAAAAATGTTGATGCAGTTGAATTGCTTACATCAGTATGTATCAACATATGAAGTTTGATACTAATTTAGGAAAAGGGCGGTCAAAAAGGTCAAAGGAAAGGCCAAGGTCAAAAATATTGAATAGCTCTCATCAGTATGTATCAACATATGAAGTTTGTGATAAAAATATCTTACATGATTTCTTTAAAACTAAGCTTAACACTAATTTTAAAAAAGTGAAGTCAAGGTCAAAGTAAAGGTCTAGGAAAAAAAATTGATTCAGTTGAATTGCTCTCATCATTATGTATCAGCATATGAAGTTTGATAAAAATAACTTGGATGCTTTTTTTTAAACTGAGCTAAACACTAATTTAAGGAAAGTATGGTCAAAGGAAAGGTCAAGGTCAAAAATGGTAATACAGTTGAATACCAAGTAGCTCTCTTCAATGTATAACATATGAAGTTTGATAACACTATCTTGAATGGTATCTTTAAAACTGAGCTAAATGGTTATTTCATATTGTCCCCCGCTTTCGCGAAAGCGAGGGGACATTAAATCTCATTCGTCTGTCCGTCTTTCCGTCTGTCCGTCTGTCAGTCTGTCCGTCACAAAAACTTTAACCTTGCCCATAACTTTTGATTTAGTAGAGCTATGACTTTCATATTTCACAAGTGTATACCTTGTGACAAGACCTTTCTTTGGGTACCACCAAATTTGACCTTTTGACCTTGACCTTGGAGTTTGACCCATTTTTACACAGAAATTTCAAACTTTTACTTTGGCCATAACTTTTGAATGGAAGGTACTAGGACTTTTATATTTCACAAATGTATTGTTTGTGGCAAGACCTTTCATTGGATACCAACAATCTTGATATTTTGACCTTGACTTTGGAGATTTACGTACTTATGAAAAAACGTTAACCTTGACCATAAGTTTTGAACGATGAGGACTAAAGCTTTCGTACTTCACATATGTTATCCTTGTTAGAAGACCTTTTATTGGATACCAAGAACTTTTACCCTTTGACCTTGACCTTGGAGTTTTAACTACTTTTTAAAAACTTTAACCTTGGTCACAACTTTTAAACAGTAGATACTAGGACTTTTATATTTCACATATGTATTCCTTTTTGCAAGACATTCCATTGGATACCAACAACTTTGACCTTTTGACCTTGACCTTGGAGATTTACAAACTTATGTAAAAACTTTAACCTTGACCATAACTTTTGAACGGTAAGGGCTAGGGCTTTCGTACTTCACATATGTAATCTTTTTGAGAAGACCTTTCATTGGATACCAACAACTTTTACCCTTTGACCTTGACATTGGAGTTTTAACTATTTTAACTTTGGTCACAACTTTTGAACGGTAGATACTAGGACTTTTATATTTCACATATGTATTCCTTGTTGCAAGACATTTCATTGGATACCAACAACTTTGACCTTTTGACCTTGACCTTGGAGATTTACATGCTAATGTAAAAACTTTAACTTTGACCACAACTTTTGAACGGTAAGGGCTAGGGCTTTCATACTTCACATATGCAATCCTTGTGAGAAAACCTTTCATCATAACTTTGACTCTTTGATCTTGACCTACTTTTAAAAAACGTTAGCTTTGGCCATAACTTTTTAACGCTCAGGATAAGGGTTTTCATCCTTCAAAAAAATCAACTTCAATGATAATTTCTAAGAAATGACATATGATAGGATGTTCATATTAGACACAATATGTCATAAAAAAATAACATCTCACCAACAAAGACACCGAAAGCGGGGGACCACAATTCTTTGAATTTGCTTGTATATTTTACATACGTTTAAATAATATAAATGAAGACGATAAATTTTGATCGGTTATTTGCGCTATGTTGAAAATAGATCTATGAAAATAATATAAATTCAAAGACAGTTAAATCCCAATACCTGGTATATTTTTGTCCCCCGCTTGAAAAGTGGGGGATATTAATTTGGGTTTGTCCGTCCGTCCGTCCGTCCGTCCGTCCGTCTTTCTGTCTGTCTGTAACGCTTTCGTTTCCACACGATATCTCGAGAACCCTTTGAGCTTTTGCAATGAAATTTAGCATAGCAACTCCCTATGGACTAAAGAAGACCCCTATTGATTTTGAGGTCAAAAGGTCAAAGGTCAAGGTCATAAATAAGCAAATTCTGTCTGTTAAAACACTTTCGTTTCCACACGATATCTCTAGAACCATTTGAGCTATTGCAATGAAATTTTACATAACAACTCCCTGTGGCCTAATGAAGACCCCTATTGATTTTGAGGTCAAAAGGTCAAAGTTCAAGGTCGTAAATTTATACATTCTGTCTGTGTGTAACACTATCATTTCCGGGCGATATTTCAAGAAGATTTTGAGCTTATGCAATGTAATTTTATACCAAAACTCCCTAGGACGTCTCTCGCCCCTCTCAAAGTGCCCCGCCCCGTTTTTTTTATTAGTATTTATAGTATTACATGTCGCTATTTTTAGAGCAGGGGCATGAGTTATTGCGTATAAAACAGGTTCTCGGCGGACTTTATGTTCTTATTACATCTATTAGAACTGTTTAATAAAGGCTAAATAAATCAAACACCATGGATTGTGTAAAATTTTGAGAATACCGAACATGAAAACATGAATATATACATGTATGTGACTTCACTTCTGCATATACTTCAAACCGCGTATAGCGATTCCGTGGTCTAGTGGTTATGTCTCTCGCTTCAAATGTGAGAGGTCCCGGGATCGAAGCTCGATCGATCCTTTTTTTTTTTTTTATAAATACTTTTTTTTTTTTACTAAATGATAGTATTCAGCATGTGAAATGAAAAATTAATGAGGTTATAAAATCATCATTACAGTGTGATAAATATTCCATATAAAAAATCTTCTATACACATAATAAAGAATAAGCAATCAAATCTTTAATGCATATTGACATACATGTATTTTATTTGCTTCAGTATACATGTATACATTTAATAATTCTACAAATTCAGTCAGGGGGAGCCGACTTTTTCCCTAAGCGGGGGACACGAATTCTCTGAATTAGCTTGTTTTATATAAAATCAAATGATCATAAGTGAAGTTAAGGTCAAAGGAATGGTCAAGGTAAAAAATGTTGATGCAACTGATTAGCTCTCATCAGTATGTATAAACATGTGAAGTTTAATAACATCATCTTGAATGGTATGCATAAAACTGAGCTTATACACACTAATGTAAGAAAAGTGAAGTCAAGGTAAGAAAAATGCTGATGCAATTGCATAGCTCTCATCAATGTCTATCAGCATATAAAGTTTGATGAAAATATCTTGGAGAGTTTCTTTGAAACTGAGCTTTCAACTGAGCTAAACACAAAGTGTGAAGGAAGGACAGACGGAAGAATGGAAGGACAGGACAGAAGACAGACATGACAAACACTAAATGCCCCGGCGATATATCCTTAAATGTATGTCATTAAATGAGGGTGACATAACAAATTTGAAACTATCAAGTTGCCTTCAGACCCACTCTAGACTGGTAGCCCATGATGTGATTATCCTGGTAAATCTACACTTTATACTTACATATTATTTCTTGAAGTTTAATTTCAATTATTGATATAATTTTCCCCCTAAATATCAAGGAAATGTTTAACACAAATTGCAGAGACAGATATTTAACCCCCCACATCAGCATTTTACATGGTGTATACCCCAATGAAATACATGTACATTACTTTGTGCTGTATACCCCCATAAATCATTTAAATAACATTATGATAATGAATCTCTAGCTGGTCCAAAAAATACCTCAGGAACATAGATAACATCTTTAACATTTGACAGATGATAAGACATAAAATCAGAAGCCTGTCATTTTGTGGTCTATAATTTTCAGTTCATTATTGAAAATTACTTGGATGTACATGTATGACTTATAAGGGAAGAGATTCGCTGTGCGTCTTTGTTTGAACAGCAGTTGAATGATGTTGTTTAATTTGAAAGATTTCCCAGTTATTCATATTTCAGAAAAATTAATCCGAATTTGGATTGAAATTGACATAAATGTTTCAATTAATACAGGATAAACTTTATATCACCTTGGGTTTTCAGTCATAACTTAAGATTTGTATAGATTACATGTATCTGTACTGCTGACACTGCATGCAGTTAGTTTCACTGACATTTTTGACTTGATGAAACTTGAAACTTCTATTCTTTAGCTTTAATTTTTCCCCCTTTGTCCTGTATTTATTCTCTATATATATTATGATCCACCACAGTGACTTTTTTGACGTGTCTAATATCAGGAATGCGCATGCTCTATTTATCTGACAACATGGAGGCCACCTAGATTATCAGATATCTTGTAGCAGCTCTATAGGCTCACTAAAAGGTAACAAAACAAGAGGCCCAGGGGCCACTTGAATTTTACACCACCCCAGGGGGTCATGATTTGAACAAACTTGAATCTACACTACCTGAGGATAATTCCCTATAAATATAACGAAGCCTGTCTTTGAAGTACTTGAAAAGAAGATTTTAAAATGTTTCCCTATATGTTCCTATGTAAAACTTTGATCCGCCATTTTGGCTCCACCCTA